CCCGTCGGATTGCATCGGCTGTGGGGATGAAGACGACAACTCCCATGATTCCACATTCAGTCACGGCGTCATCAATAGGGTTGTGACGGTGAGGAAATTTTCCCACCGGTTAATCGACGTGTGACAACACCGGTAATACCGGTATCACCGTGGGGGCGGGCGTTCCCTCTTTTCCTAGCATTCCTTCACTTTTAAATAGCTTGTAAAAGCGGCGCGCGCATTTTACTTTCACTTTGAAATAGCGGCAATTCGGCGTAAAGCAAGTGTTTATTTTTAGTTCGTTTGAATTTTCCCTCTTTTCCTCGCTTCGAAATCTGATCTGTGATGCGACTGTCGTTCGGCACGCTGCATTGAGCAGCCGCGTTCAGTTTTTAATTGCAGTGTCTGTTCTTTTACTGTACTAAAAGATTTTTATTTCTATAAAAAATCAAAACGACGGTGGGGGTCGGTGACTTGGTGGGCAAGTGACTTAACCGGTGTTGCGGCTTAACACCGGTATCAACGTCAGCACCGTCTATCGCGCGGCAAGCCTAGCTGCATCCAGTGTAGTCAGTCACACAGCATCACTGATTACAATGGGTTCTATAGTATTTTGTCGCGTCGCGCCTCTCGCGTCCGGTGTAGACACTGTAAGAGCCACGCAGATGCACGTGAACTTTGAATTCCGTTCACTTCCGCTACTATTTGTGCCTGAAATGACACATGGGCGAATTTGTCAAAATGCATGTCTCTGCAAGTATCCTTGTAAAAACACGAAATTCAAATTAAAATATTGAATAATATTCCCAACAGAACAGAAGCTCTAAATATTAAAAATGTAATTGAAACTTACCTGCTTGAACTTGATCGGGGTGTTTTGTTAGTTTGCTGCGTTTCCTCCTCTTGAGGTCGCCACTGCTTTTATGAAGAGGTTCCCAGGTTTTCACAACAAAACCCGCCCAATCGCGTTTCGGGGGGGTCCCCGTTAAAAATCGCGTTCCGGGGATAAAATACGCGTGTTTTGGCGGGGTTCCCCTGGTAAACTTCGCATTCCAGGGGCTAAATATCACGTTAATGGGGTCGTTTTTCAACCCGCGGCAACAGTGTTAAACCCGCGGCAACAGTGTTAAAGCAGCCCAATTCTGCGGGAAAACCGCGGACTTGGCAACACTGGAAGAGGATAGCTTTCTGATAGCGCATCAAGAACCGGGTTGACCGGGTACTCGGTACCACCGGTACACTTAAAACAATAATGGTGGATACGTTAGCCGAGTGCTAACGTGACTAACTGATGAAACGATACAGTTTGTAAACCAAAATATGTCTACTGTAATGTTTGAAGAACGACAGACAAAAGACGCTCTGTCTTAACTTTTAATCAGAACACAGAACAGCTCTATCACAGGTGCACCAGCCTAACTAACTCGCTCGTCTCTCCCGCATTAACCCTATAACTGCTGGTGCAGCAAAATAAACGGCAGTTTCACAATGATTATAAAGTCTGCGCGCTAGTAATTATTTGAACAACGTCAGTCTACATTAATCAACACATTCTTTGGAAATCGTGGGTTCACATCGAATTATCAGAACTATTTCAGTAAGACAGTAATATCGTGCTTTACCTGAAAACCTAAAGCTATACATAAAGGTATACATCACATATTAGCAAAAAAACTTGATATTTTGAGCACTCAATTGAAAATGTACACATAACGTATCAATCATACTTACAGGTTGTGGTTCAGAGAGCTTGTTAGTCCAAACAAAGAAGATTAGAAGCCGACGAAGATAAAAGCCAAGATTAGAGAAGCAGTCCTTGGTAAAATGACGAGCACACAACAAAAGGTTCAAATTGTATTTCTGTGGTATCCCTGAACACAGCGTCTTCTCAACATGATGTAAACACACTAACTAGCGGAAGTGTTTGTGGGCAGGTCAGACTCTGTTCGTATTTCGAGGGCAGGCGGGGATTATGCAAATGTGTTACC